ATCTCTAAAAATTATTGAAAAAAAGTGTGAAAAATGCAATTTTGGAAAATTACGTCTGCTGAGGTCTGGAGCAGAAAAAAAAATATTCACCATATTAAACAATTTTACTTACATAAAAGTTGCACCCAGGTGTCAGCTATAAAACGTAATTGACGGAATTTGCTTATCTCATTCAAGATAAAAATGGCAGCCATTTCCGCATGGCAGGGCTACTCGGAACACCCCCTGGGATAATTAGGGACACCCTTAAAAATGCATTTACAGTAGAACCTCAGTTAGCAAAGGCTCCAGTTAACAAAAAATTGATTAACAACAAAGAATTTTGATTACATTTACCTCGCTTGGCGAAAAAATTCACTTATCGGAAAATTAGTGCATTATCACAAAATTGTACATGGAATGCTATATATAGAATTGTGCACTGGGCATCATAGAAAGAGAAGTAATTGACCTAAACTATGATTTATTTCTTCAAAATATATGATGGTTGTCACTAGAACATTATTTTCTGTTTCAGGTATGTTTTTCATGATCTTTTTTGTTGTAGTGAAATCACTAGACTCGATTAAAATTGTGTGAAATTACAAACCATCCTGTAAGCTTACAGATACAGAAGAAATGCTACATGGCTGCTGATATGAAGCTTGCAGTGGACAAGGTCGTTGTCAATGCTCAATGGCATGTCCATGGATACAGTAATATCACATTAATAATATGGTAATTAATGAATATGGTGATATCATATCAATAAAGGAAAAACAAGTAAAAATTACAGAGAATGTCATTTATTTTACATCTACATCATCTACAATGAAGGAGGAGGACTTCAGAGTACTGTTAGTAATGAATGAGTACACTCTGCATGCTTCAAACGTTTTAAAAGTAACTTTTATTGCAAGTGTCCTGGATTACCCCATTCCCAGGGGTAAATCGGGACAGTTTTATTTTGCATCTGGCACCTTACGAATAGCATATGAAATTTTTTTGAAGATGCCATTTGATAGCCCTTGCAAAGAGCTATAAAATGAGCCTAAACTTGATTCTGAAATGTTTCATGGTAAGAAGTTATTAGAGAAAAACCCTCAAAACCGTCCCTTTTTACCCCGTTTGACGGTACTCAAACTGCCATACCTGCCCAGCAACCTGCAGAGCCTAATGTTTCATTATCCCAGCTAATTGACCTCTTGTCACGAGTCCTGTCTCTTTGTCACTACCCAGACATAATCACTACAAAGGAAACCATCTCAAAACTTGCTGCAGAAACATTCAGTAATATTCAGCCACCAGAGACCATCCCTCACAACATAGCCTCTTCCTATGCAGCTGCAACAGCTGTGCCTGTTATGTGTGATACTAATCCTGTGCCTTTGAGGTCTGGAGGTGCTCCTCACTCTACCCCAGCTGCAGAGACAGTAATGGACGCATGCACTGGAAATGTTCAGTTGAATCCCTCCCCAATCATTGGTGGGCACCACTTGAGGAAGAAACTGGTGTCAGATACAGTGTGCCCCTCTCCCATAATTGGAGGAAAATCACGCAGGACAGTAACAGGGAAACCACTGAAAAGCACTAGTAAAGATTCAATCACCTCATCAAAACTAAATCCAGGAAAATGTCAATGAACAGGCAGCTAAAAATAATGCAATGGAATTGTCACAGTCTGTGGAACAAATTAAGCAATTTTAAAATATATTTGTATACTAATAAACCACAGGTTGCCTGCCTCTCAGAGACTTGGTTATCTGCTGACTATGAGCCTTCATTTGTTAATTACACTCCAATTTACATGCATAGAGCTGCTGCACATGCTGGTGGGGGCCTTGCAATTTTAGTAAGAAGTGATGTATCTTTCCTGAATTTGAATTTGCAGCCTTATCCACAAGGGAATTTGGAGGTGTGTGGGGTCAAACTATTTCTGAAAAATGCAAATGTGTCATTCTCCATTATCAATGTGTACAACCCTTGTCAGAATATATCCTTAGCAGAGCTAAACCACTACTTTTCCCAAAAGGGGCCATCATGGCTCATAGTTGGTGATTTTAATGCCCACAGTCAAATATGGGAACCAAACAAGACATCCAACATAACTGGTAAGAATATAGAGGATGTGCTACTGAGTGATCCTTCTCTCTGTTTACTAACTCCAACACCTCTGCCCACATTCTATAGCATCTATCACAATTCATTTTCAACATTGGATTTGTCTTTTATTTCATCCCATTTAAAACCAATATCATCAGTGCACTCCGGAGATGACCTGGGCAGCAATCATTACACAATTTTCACCTGTGTTAGAATAGAGCTATCTACTGTTCAATTCAAAGTTTGCCCATCCTGGAAGTTTGTGGACGAGTTATGGGGTGAGTGGTCAACTAAACTTCTCCTAAGAGATGGGCTGCCATTACCAGAATTGGAGAAAAGTTGCACCTCATTTGAAGACAATATTGTGGCAGCCAGTGCAGAGGTCTTTTCAAAGACAAGAGAAATAGTAACACCAAAATACTGTAGACCCTGGTGGACTCGGAAATATGCAGAGGCAGTTGCTGCCAGAAAAGCTGCAAAGAAAACTCTCATCTCCCAGCCATCTCCAGCTGCTCTCATAGCCTTCAAACGTTCGGAAGCAAAAGTCAAATGGGACGTGAAGCAGGCCAAGCGTGACTCCTGGAAGCAGTTCTGCTGCATGGTTTCTTCAGACACTCCTCTAAAACTACTATGGAAATGTGTGAAAGGCTTACAAACTCCATCCTACTGGAAATCACAGCCCCTTATCTCAAATAATGCAGTCCTCTCTGATGCACACTCCAAAGTTGAGGCTCTTGCATCCTACTATGAAAGTATTTTAAATTATTCTGCACCTTCTCCTTACCCATCATACATTATTCTCCCACTAGCCATTGCACTGAGTGATGACAGTCCCTCAGACCTGAATGAACCTATTTCTATGAATTAAACAGATGTTTTGAGTCACTTAAGAAAACGCATGTGATGACAGTCCCTCAGTCCTGCATATTCAGAGTCCCTCAGCCAGGGGTGGTCACTGCTGAATATGCAGATGATGTTACCTTCTTCACTAGTAGTCCAGATATAAACAGTGCCACCGCTAGGCTCCAGTCACAACTCTCACAGTTCTTCAACTGGACAAAGACCTGGGGATTGACCCTCAATCTCTCAAAGACCAAATGCATGTGCTTTACAAACAAACAAATCACACCTCCTCCCCTGAGTGTTGATGGAACCATTCTGGAAATGTGCTGTGTGGTCTTTCTGTATGGGCTATTTAGAGAGTAGGGTCTGCAGAACACCTCATGATTCTTTGGATAGTTTGAAGTCTAAATTGACACAAGAATGAGACTTGATCCTGCGTGTCTCCTGTGAAGCTTTCCTGCATAGATTGGAGGTCGTCAGTAAAGATAAGGGTGGTCATATTGAATAAATATGTCTGAGAATTGTTGAGGTAATTCTTGGCTACTAGCTCATCCAATAAAAAAACAATGCACCTGTTTGTTTCATTGAGAAATAACAAAAAAACATCCGTTGCAATAAATATGGCGGACCCTGTATATGGGTGCTTAATGACCAGAGAACTCATGGATTTAAGTTTTCTAAACCAGACAATCAAACAATATTCTTCAGATGACGTTGGTTGATCAAGGAAGAAATTTTAATTTACTAATGACATTTTAAATGTGACAACATTCATCTTTGGATAGCTGGAGTCCAATGCATAGAGACAAGGGCCTCTGTCATCATTGGTCAGATGATGTCAGGCCACTGCAGGATGACGATGCTATTAGGTTTCTCCAGCATGGTGCCTTATCTTAAAAAAAGGTTTATCTTGCCATGATGGTACATAAACCTTATAAAAGGTTTATCTTGCCATGATGGCACATAAACCTTATAAAAGGTTTATCTTACCATGATGGTACGCCATTGATAACTACTCTCTGCCGGCGATCAGTTGGGAACGCACTGATAAATGAAATACTTGTCCACTTACACCGAGCGCTTGGAGTTTCAGAATGAGTCACCAATGCGGTATGGTGTCAAACGCTGTCTGAAAGTCTATGTCAATGGCGTCTATGCTGCCTACATCATCAAGAATCTCAGTCCATTCATCAAGAGGCTCCAGCAGTTGGGTTGTACATGAGCGGCCAGCGACGAAGCCATACTGGCCCATAGTGGCAAAGCAGATAGTTTTTAGACTCTAGCTCAAGTTCATTTTTGAGTCCTATAAGTAGACCAGTAAAGTATCATGGATACCAGCATTATCATACATAATGCTGGTCTAGTGAACGTGATGGCTCATTATCAGCATTATCATAGTGTAGTGTCTAGTGAATGTGATGGCTCATGCAGTATTCTTTGGTATTAGATTAATTATTGAGTGTGAATTTGACCATCAAATTTTTTTTTATTTTATCAAATGTTTTTTTCTAAATTGACGCCTTAATTTATTGATCTTTTTTTTATAATGATTTCTCGATTTGCAATTAATGTGTTGATATAAATACCAAATGCAAATCAGCCATAGCCTTTTCATATCTAGATCTAGATATGATCTAGATATGAAAAGATTATTATCTCATTTACCCAAGATCGAAAAATCTTGGGTAACTGAGGAAATTGAAAATGAAGAGATTTTAAAAAATCTCTGGTTTGTCACTATGCATGCTGCTCCTTGCAAATGAGGTTTTTGGCTTGTAGATGTGTGGTCTGGCTGGCCGGCCGATGGTTGCTGGTATCATATCTGTTACCTTTCTTAAAGATAGGTGAAACTACTGCTTGCCGCCAGTCATCCGGTATTTTGCCAGACTCAAGAGATTGTCTAAACAGAAGGCAGATGGGTTTGGCAAGAGTGTTTGCAGCTTTTGCAAGAACAAGTGGGCTTATGCCATCATTGCCTTGCTTTTACTGAAAATGAACTGTTTTTATAGTTGAAGATGTTTTTTAGAAGTAGAGGATAAGTGTTCGAATATTATTAATTATGATTAAATATTGTGCCAGAAAAAGTTAGGTGGCTCATCTCAATTCTGCCATAGATTAGCTATCAATTAATTTAGTGTCCTCATTGAGCAGGTAAAATGAAATTTTTGTATGACAAATTCCGAGACCTTACATCTGAAATTGAACCCTTGCCCATACATGTTGTGAATCTGCCTTTATTGGTAAGTTAACTTCTAAATGTTTAGCCCTTGCCAGGCTTGCTGGTCTGTATCGGCCTAACTCTATTTTAACCAGTAATCAGTTTGTCTTCTTCTATTGTATTATTAATGGCAAAACATAGTGCAATTTTGATTCATCTCTTAGTCCTAATTTGTAGGATTTTTTAATTTTGCTTTTATTGTTCCTGTAATAAATTGTGTGATTCTTGCATTTATATTATTTTTTATTGGTGTGTCAGTTCAGAAATTTTGCAGCTAACAATTATGGAAGCATAAAAAGCCTATTGTAACTGTAGTTAACAATAATTTGTTTGACAGTTTCAAATTCATCATAAATGGTAAGATTTTGCAGATAAATATTCAAAATGCAACTTTCTCCTTCACATATTATTTCACATTTTTTGGGGCCTAACGAGTTTTGTCTATAAATAATTGAGGTGGCACTTCATTAATCCGTGTTCATGACCATAGTATTTTGTGCCAATGTCTACATCTGACTACCTGTAAACACCTATTAGTATTAAACTGGTAGTTCATGATTGGATTGTTTTTCATACATCAACTAATGCATCTTATTTTTTTACCTACATTTCCTAATCAATTTTATTTTTTTCTTAGAGCATAACAATGTTTTCAATTATTGATGTTTTTTCTTTGAAACTTTATTTTATGATTATTATTTGAATTTGAATATCAGGTTAATAAAAATGGGATAGCGGAGAAGTTTGATATTGCGCAAGACTGCATCACCCTTAAGCGGAAGCCTGGCAAGAATTCTGCCTCTGCCATCATTGTTCCCCCGAGCTGGCTTAAAAGTGATTTGTGAGTTTAGTTTAGAAAGCCTAATGAACATATTGTGTATTTTTGATGTTGTGACACTTGTGAGCAACTACATACAAGTGAAAAATTTTTCTTTCATGTTACTTGATAAAAAGTTATTTCTATTTTAATTTTATTGCAAATACCTCTTTTCAGTATTTTGGAAGGTAAAGTGTTCTTTGGGAAGCGGGAAGCATTTGTATGGCAATCCTTTGACTTGGACCCCTCACGACCAAGCTCGAAGCACTACAAGCCGCATAAGCTGCCCAGTGAAGAGTTTGACTTGAGCCCTGCATGCAATGGACAGCCTACACTCCATGTCCTCAATGATGACATCTTGCTTCATATTTTTAAATATTTAAATGTGTCGGAGAAACTGATGCTTGAAGCAGGTAAGTTGCATGAATGTGGAAGCTTATCAGCTCAGGCTGTATGGCAGCAGCTATTTTAATCGATCCATTTATTATCATGTGAGTTAACTATAGTTGCTATTAAATTAAGGTAATACATTTACGTCATACATCACTATAGAAACTTTAAATTTGACTAAACAATGAAGAGAAGCACGATATTTTAAATGCTACTGTCAGGTGTATATCCTGCCAATTTTTTATGATCATTTCTGTTTATTTTTTATAGTCTTAGCATATCTATTCACATTACTACTCTATTGAACATAAATTAATTCCTCAGTGTAATCACCTGCTTTCTGTTAGGCTAAAGCTTCTTACAGACATCGTTTGGTTAAGCAAGAAGAAGCAAGCTATTACCTATTATCAATATTCTGCCTTCTTATAATCTATTTCTAGGTTCATTCATGTTGCAGTGTGTCGACGCTTCCAGTCTCTTGTTTACCGCGAGCTGGGCCAGAAAAGCTTCATAGACTTCACTTATGACTATGACGACTGCGTCTGGCAAAGTGCGCACCGCAATCTCCTCGAATGCCGCAGGTGGGCTTTTACCGGCTGTCCTAACATGGAAGTGATTGTGCAGGGAAGTGAAGAGATCGTATTGTGGTGCGACTGCCACTACAATACTACATGGAAGGGATCGTGTTATGGCATGACTGCCACTACAGAGATGGCACACCCCTGATGGGACTTCTTACATGTGCCTGTGCTCATCAGAAGTCATATTGGATTTCACGTTCTTAAAGACATTGATTCTGGGCGCCCCACCGAAGAGCTCGCGGTATATGACTGTGGGTCTCATTTGTAAAGTTGTCACGTAGGCAGGACATTTCTCTTCTATGTCTCGTGTGACGGCCGCACGAATGACCTCTGGTACGAGTGTCTATGTTTCGGTTCACCGCCATATTACTTCGACTCTTTGATATGTTAATTCAGCTTATTTCTTGCCAGCTTTTGCGACCTGGTCACTTGTGACCTTTCGCTCCTTGTGGGTTGATGAACTATTGGAGAAATTAGTGACAAATTCTTGGTTTCTTTTCAACTTGTGTGAAATAGCTTAATAGCTGAAGCTCTTCTTAACCATTCTACGTCTACTTTTTCATGAATTGCATTGATTTATTGATATTCATAATTATAAATTTTTCCATGATATTCTACTTTTATCTGTTATAAATATTGCAAAATTTTTGGCTCAAGTGCACTTGTAGTAGGCTGTTTCATCCATTATTTCTTCAAAGTTTTTGCTTGACACATATATTGCCTTGTTTTGTATTGCTAGTTTATGACGGCATAGCCATGTTTGCCCTGCATTCCAGCAAGTCGCCAGCTCAGCTTACACAGGACATCAAGCTCTGCACCTACAAGATGCTCATCATGAATGCAAGCCACCTCACAACTCTGAGACTCGACGAGTATTTCTGCAGCTTAGATGTCAACGTATTTGATGCTATAGGTACGCTTCCCTGCTTCTTCCAAATCAGACCAATAAATTACAAAATTTAGATACAAATTTTAGTTAAGAAACCATATTTGATGTTCAGGTCCTTCTTTATTTCATTTATATTGCTTCATTAAATTGTTTTATACATTTTTTTGTGGGAAACTCTGAATAAAGACTAGTTAAAAGATTCAAACAGTCTTGTTGCGTTTATGAACGAATGTTTTGCAAATAACTGAGAACACTAATATTTTTTAATTTCAGGCCGACTTGCTGTGAATTTGGAGGATTTATGCCTCTCATTCAGGCCTCAGAGAATTCGCCCCTACATTCCCATGAAGACCATCTTCTCGCGCTGCACCAAACTCAGGACTTTGTGTTTTGAAGTGAGGCTTGTGTGGCAGAGTTGTCAATGCAAGGTCGTAACGATGGTGCATTGTCCTCACCTATGTATCATGCATGGTTGTCTAACAAATGCACATTATCAGCACCTATATACTAGGCTGGTCCGAGTTGTAATAAGTATGCATTGTTGGAATTTATAGACCTGTACATTGACGTAATCTTGATGACCAACACTCACTCCATGTGGTGGTCATTGTCTGGTCGTTAGTCCAGACATATTTTTCATATATTTGCCAGATATATTTGACATATATACCAGACATATTTGCATATTTTTCTGTGGTATTTTCCCTGCGTTCTATGCGGCCTGCAATTTTTATATCTCAGCGATTAACTTAGCATGTTTTCCCAAGTTTTTTTTCTGGAGTAGGTGTTATGGCCTGCTTACAGTTTTGGGCTTTTACTTCAGATGAATATTTTATGTGTCTTTCTTTATATTATAATCTCGGCAGAACGTTAGAGCCGGAATTCGTTTGCAGTGTTCAATTTGTTGAGTTGAGGGAATTCAAGGAATTTGCTTGAGACCCTTCGAAGTGCCAATAAATTAATGAATAATTTTTCTAGGGCACATTCCGTACTGGCAAATTGCTACGAGAATTGAAGAAATGCAAAAGTTTGGAAGTGTTGCGGCTGGGCAGAATGATTGATCTTACCAATAACTGGGGTCTTCTATGGCAGTTGAAAACTCCTCTTAAAGAGCTGTCAATCCACAACATTCAAAGTCTTTGTTCCTTGGGATCGACTGAAAACTATACGGACTCACCATTCAAGTCATGCCTCACGACATTGCGTATTTTTGACAATACACAGCCAATTAAGTAAGTCAAATGCCTCCTAATAGGTTACAGAAAAAACGGACTGAAGGAAAAACAGGTTACAGGGAAAATGGGTTAAAGGAATAGCAGTTTAGAGGAAGTAACATGTTGGAATAACGTACTAATTAGTGGTTTGCATGGATGAATGCAAGCATAATTTCTGAATTGACTTGAAAATGCTCCTAAAATATATTAGTTCATGTTTCTTAAATTGTCCCTTGCCTTGAAGTTGATAATAGTTGAATCAAGCGGTTTAGTCTCGCGGGTAAATCAGCACGAAAATTATTTGAAGGACCTTTCCTACAATTGACGTGCTTGCCTGAACATCACGAGTAAATATTTGAGTTCATTTAATAAGGATGAGACTTCCTTGCCAAGTCGAAATACTTCCATGAGACTTCCAATATTACTTGTATTTCTTGCATTAAATCACTTGACTTTACGGGTGGTATTTGCTGGGCTTGGCGTGCAGGAAATGGTGTCGCTGTCAAGGTGGAGGTAGATGTGACTCTGTCATCTATGAAACTCTGTCATCCATGGCACGCTCATGTCCTGCGCTGGCCCAACTCCAGCTTGATTTCTCCTGTTATAATGTGTCCCTCAATTTCAAGATATTCAAGAACTTGAAGGTAGGAAAATTGACTTTGTTTCAAACTTGCAAAAATTGAATGTTGAAGATTTTGACCAAGAAATCTGCCTGAGACACTTGTGTGCAGAGATTGGTTTGATTGGTCTCAATCCCGAATCTTAACCAATCATTCCTGTGCTGGTTGAAGAAATTATTTGTTTGCCCTTTTGATGTTTCATTGGAGTGACAAAACGGCTTTTTGCTGTTGCAGGTGCTGCACTTTATTGCTTCTGACGATGATAATATTGAGGTTCTTCTCAAAAGCGCTCTGCCTGACCTCGAGGATCTTTACATCGAGTTCTCAACAAAGAAAGTATACGAGGTGAGCTGCTAGCCCAAGCGGGACTGAAACTTCAAGTGAATTGAGTCAAGTACCCTCACTTGAAAACCTCCTTCTTCATATTTTTTTCACTATATTCACCGTTATTGCAAATTTCAGAGTTCTTAACTTCATGGTTTGCTATTCAGATTATTTACTTGAATATGTGTTCTAACTTTGATTTTCCCTTTTTTGTTATGATGTGATACATAAACTCTCTCGTTTAAAATATTTTTTGGCAAGATTTACAGTCAAAGCCTGCTAGGTGCTCAAAATAACTATAACTATCAAAATGCTAAAAGCTGGCCCGCAGATACTCTGGCCCATGTCTCGAATATATCTTAATATGGTTGACAGTATGCTTTTAATTTCGACATGATTAAGTGTACACGGAATATGCCAACTATGATTGCATAGCATGAACAATCAATTTACATTATGATAATCCCTAGCCTATTGCTTGTGTTATGTCCCTGATACGGCTCGATGGGGGAATTAATCGACTGATAGTACCTATTCAAGTATTTATATTGTAATGACTCGTTAAGTTTCCATTGTTTTAAGTATTAAAAAGCCCTTCTCACACTCTTACATAATACATATCACACTAGTATATATAGTACTACTATACGCGGGCTGTTTAAATTTGCTGGTCGACTTCCACAGAAACCCGCAAATCAGCAAATTTAACCGGAAATCATTTTTGTCGTTAATATTCGGGGAAAAGTTGAATAGTGATACATTGGAGTGAAGCCGTGATATAGCAAGGGATTACCATATCTTGTACACGGAACATGCTTTAACCCGTGTGGTCCTTCATGATCTGGGTGCTATGTCCGTCTTGCACAGAATTAGAAACCAATTTTGAATGGCCTGCAATTCCTCTTCACTAGTTGAAATTTACAATTTTGAAGTTGTCCCTCAGTATGTCGTGATTGAATTTGAGTTGCATTGATCATCTAAGGTCAGTGGTGGGCACAGTCTGCTAACCGCTAATTAGCGAAAATGACGATGACGTTTTCTTTAGCCGATGTGCCACACTGATGGCTGACTATGTCAACATATGTACGTCAACCAATCACGTCTTGTGTAACCTATCACGTCTTTTGTTACATGAGACGTGATTGGTCGACGTTCATATGTTGACGTAGTAAGCCATCAGTGTGGCACATCGGCTAAGGAAAATGTCATCTTCGCTAATTAGCGGACTGTGCCAAACACTGTCTAAGCCTCAAAGGCAAATGGTATTCGCCTAAAAAATACGGACACTTGATTTCTTTGAACACTCGTAGCATTTCTTCATTCTAGAGATTTGTGCTCTAAATGACTCTGTTCAGTTTTCTATTTGTGCACAAATCTTGAAGTGGGTAAATATTATTCTAAATTCTAGCCCGTTGCCTATTGACGGTAACTCGCGTTACTTGGGCCTATTAGTGCAAACAGCGTTGACAAATGACTATGCAACAGTTGACAGAATGTTTATTCTGTATCTGCAGACTGATAAATCTCGTCCTTAGTCCTTTAGGAAAAAATTACATTGATGACGATCAATGTATGATGATTAAAGGTTGAACCTTTGAAATTGTTCAGGCATATTTTTTTTAAATATATTTTTTATTCATCGGAAACCTATAGAAGTATATATTGAAAATAATTCAAATGACGCTGTCACCATTTCGCATGGGACTGTGTAATATTTTTATTTCATGCGAGGAATACGGCGTTTTTCATCCAGCAATATTCTTCAAGGGTTGCAGTCGTTAATCCATTGCACTATTTTAATAGATTCTCATCCAAGCATAACGCTGGGGACAGGAAGTCTTGAAATATTAGTTCGGCTGGAAGTAATCCTTTTTTTTATCTTTTAATAATATTTATTTTTCTCCTCAGATGCACATACGAAATGAAGTCTTAGCCATAGACTTTTCGCTGGCGCCGACGTCAGTGATGTCCCTGACGCTGCCTTCCGTCGCTTTGGACGACAAATCGTACAAGAGCCTCCTGCGCATGCCCAAGCTGCGGCGAGTCTTTGCCAAAAGCAAGAAATTCTCAATGGCTCAGCTTAAACTGAGTCTTCTCTGGTCCTCGCAAATTTGTGTGAACTCAAGTGCTGGAGTGGTTAGCTTCTTAACTGGCTCGTTTGTCGTTGTTCGGCCATCAAATGGGACGGGCGAGTGATCGATAGGCATTTCTGTCCAACGCACATACGCAGAATTATAAATAGTACGTCTGCAAATAATATTTTTGAAGAACAAATTGAAATTGATCAAGTGATGAATGGATTTTATCGTGTGTACTTATATCATGAAAAATCTGTTAGTCACAATTCATGTTTCCATCACACTACATTGCTGTTATTTGAAATTTAAATCTTAGCTGTGGTTGTGTATTTCATTGAAATTATATTTCATCCAGTTTCAACTTACTCGCTCAAATCAGGTCAAGAATTGTGTGGCACATCGGCTAAGGAAAATGTCATCTTCGCTAATTAGCGGATTAGCGGACTGTGCCAACCACTGTCTAAGCCTCTAAGGCAAATAGTATTCGCCTAAAAAATACGGACACTAGATTTATTTCAACACTCGTAGCATTTCTTCATTCTAGAAATTTGTGCCCTAAATGACTGTTCAGTTTTCCATTTGTGCACAAATCTTGAAGTGGGTAAATATTATTCTAAATTCTAGCCCGCTGCCTATTGACGGTAACTCGCGTTATTGGGCCTATTAGTGCAAACAGCGTTGACAAATGACTATGCAACAGTTGACAGAATGTTTATTTTGTATCTGCAGACTGATAAATCTCGTCCTTAGTCGTTTAGGAAAAAATTACATTGATGACGGTCAATGTATGATGATAAAAGGTTGACCCTTTGAAATTGTTCAGGCATATTTTTTTAAATATATTTTTTATTCATCGGAAACCTATAGAAGTATATATTGAAAATAATTCAAATGACGCTGTCACCATTTTGCATGGGACAGTGTAATATTTTATTTCATGCGAGGAATACGGCGTTTCACGAATTTTCATCCAGCAATTTTCTTCAAGGGTTTCAGTCGTTAATCCATCGTACTATTTTAATAGATTCTCATCCAAGCATAATGCTGGGGACAGGAAGTCTAGAAATATTTGTTCGGCTGGAAGTAATTCTTTCTTTTTTATCTATTAATAATGTTTATTTTTCTCCTCAGATGCACACACGAAATGAAGTCTTAGCTATAGACTTTTCGCTGGCGCCGACGTCAGTGACGTCCCTGACGCTGCCTTCCGTCGCTTTGGACGATAACTCCTACAAGAGCCTCCTGCGCATGCCCAAGCTGCGGCGAGTCTTTGCCAAAAGCAAGAAATTCTCAATGGCTCAACTTGAACTGTGAGTCTTCTCTGGTCCTCGCAAATTTGTGTGAACTCGAATGCCGGAGTGGTTAGCTTCTTAACTGGCACGTTTGTCGTTGTTCGGCCATCAAATGGGACGGGCGGGTGATCGATAGGCATTTCTGTCCCACGCACATACGCAAATTATAAAAAGTACGTCTGCAAATAATATTTTTGAAGAACAAATTGAAATTGATCAAGTGATGAATGGATTTTATCGTGTGCACTTATATCATGAAAAATCTGTTAGTCACAATTCATGTTTCCATCACACTACATTGCTGTTAATTGAAATTTAAATCTTAGCTGTGCTTGTGTATTTCATTGAAATTATATTTCATCCAGTTTCAACTTACTCGCTCAAATCAGGTCAAGAATTAATTTCTTCTTCCTATCACGGTTCGTTCTAGTTCCACAAAAGCTGCTTGCGTACCTCTATGATGTGTCCAGATAAAGTTGTCACCTTTGGAATTGTGCCGCACACTCTTAATTCCTCGCTACTGCCCGCGTGTGACAACCTATACCTTGCCGGTAGCCGCGGTGCTCTTGCTCCAGACCAGCTCCCTAATGCGTGGTGCATTACAGACTCGTGGCCCACGTTCAGCTGGTCGAGATAGGCGCCGCGATGGTGTCCGTGGATCTCTCCGCGGCGCAGGAGCTCGCTAAGCTACGCTGGAAGGCGCTGGCTGATGAAAGGCGCTCTCTCCCCTCACGGAGCCTCGACAACGACGAGCCCCTCGTGCTGCATGTCGACTACGCCCACCATGTGGCCTTCGCAGATCCTTTCATCAAAATCAAAGGTTCACTCCCACAAGTTTCCAGATATTGGGACAAATCAAGTAACCTGCCTTAACTTTCTTCAGATAAGTTATAATGAATTTATATTTCATGCGGTATTTTTAAGAGACATGTTCTCTGCTGTTAATCTGATATGATCATCAATGAGTTTTCTCCCGCATCCATTGATGAACATTGTTGAAAATGCACACAAGTTCCAATATGCACACTAGCTAAATTTTTTTATTTACGTAACCGTGCATTTCTCTTTTATTTTCTTCCTTTTGAACTTCCCATTTAAAATGTAGAATGAATCGCATTCAGGTAGTAACACCACAACTGCATGCTCCTGAATAAAGTTATACATCACCACCCATACCTCCAGTAGCATCACCCGCGTCTCCTTCCGTGACGTCATTGTAGCTAGTCTATACATATAAGTGCCTCGAGCATCCCATGAGTCAGTCGTAGTCCAACCTCTATAAGCGTCCACTTACGTAAAGACTGCTCCGACACTCGCCGGTTCACTAGCGAACGTGTCGATCTAGCTACCTTATCTATTCCTGTATTACTACCTCGCTGTGCCTTACCTTAAATAATTTCTAATTTGCAGCTGCCCATTTACTTCTTTATTTGCTCTTTTATAAATAGTGGACAATAATCGAACCGTAATTAATTTATTCATTTTATTTAACTAAAACTCAGGAGTCTCTGTAAAGACATTCCGACAACTGTTCCGATGTGCATGAATGTGTTTTTATTTCAGACCACAAACTGGAGTCGTACATCTACGAGGTCGTCGGGTCGAGTCGCTTTGATATTGATTGGCTGGACTTCGGCCGCGACCTCCTCCAGCAGAAGCGTCGCCATAAATGCTTGGATATTGACAGGGAGCTCTTGGTCTTCGAGACGTATGAAGATTCTGACGATCCTGACAACATCGCCGGGCTTTATGATGAACCACTCGACGAAGATATATGTACGTTCGTGGTCTTTAGAACTTGAGCTTTCATAAAAAATGCGCAGCTTCATGTTTCTAGTTGTGTGACTATTTATTCTATCAGAGTTCTGTTTTCGAGTTGGTCATGGCTGAAGCTGAGTTCTTAAAAAAAATTTAATCTATCTTACAAAATTACAATCGAATAGGGAGAATTTTTTTCTTAAACTTGTAAGTGTTAGTAGACGTGACATTAGTGATTTAATTGGCCTAAAATCATAAAAAAGTCCAATGTACACCCAATTCTTGCCAGTACCAATGCTTCAATGTGTATGTTGTTTAATTTACATTATAGTACATTTCATATTTATAACAATTTTAGTCGTATGCGTATTTCAACTAATAGCCTGAATTATGATTGCATCAGTTTTGCAAGACTTCCCCAAACTCTAGTGCCTGATTTGCTAATTAACTTATCTTGCAGAGGACTATTTGCTCTACGGTGGCCATCGTGAATACTGAGCCTGGCTTGTGCTGCAGCTCTGTTATGCGTTGAGTGGAGCTAACTAGGCTGCTCTGCGGTGTCGTATCGTCGCTGAGATCTGCATACTGAGCCTGGCTTGTGCTGCAGTTCTGTTATGCGTTGAGTGGAGCTAACCAGGCTACCTACTCTGCGGTGTCGTATCATCGCTGAGATCTGCACTATTCTGTCACGCGAGTCATGCTCAGGGGACTTGGCAATCTCTGTGTCTTAACCATAATAATATGTGTTTTTTTTTGCCTCAGTGGAAATCTCTTAACGATAAGGTGTTGCAGGGTTTACTTAGAGATATGAAGTTTTGCAGCATTGTTTAGATGTCACGAATGAACCATATTTGGCTTTTGAATCATTTTTGGCTTTTCCATCTTTGTAACATTAAAATACACAAAATCAAGATTGTTTCAAATAAATTGATCGCTCTACCTCGAAAAATCAAATACAAGTTTTTTAGTTATTATACTCATTAAGCGTTGACATCGTGCTGGTTCTTGTCAACTGAAATTTGTCACTATCGCTGCATTTTTAATTTTAACATGAAACTATTTAACCTACGATTTAAGTGATCAGTTAATTGGCTTTACTCTTGCACTCTAAGCAGCTTTGTTACTTTATTCAAGTTCAATTGTTTGAAATACAACAGGCCAAAACATCCGAAGTAACGTTTATGAAAAATCGAATTTCTTTCTGGGTTAAAAATAATGTAGAGAGATATTTTTCTGCGTCGACCCTGCAGCTACTTGTTGTGTTGGAATTGGGATATAATTTTGTTCTTGCCATCTAATGTATTGAACAAGGTTCCTGCTTAGGTTCATACCGCCGCTGTTTGAATTAATTACTTCAGTCAGGAATTGATTAATCACTTACAAAGAAAACATAAGTTTTTCAGTCAGGTTTTGTTGACCCTTTCAGTGCTCACGTGTTCCGACTAAGTTCTGTCTTAGATGTAGAGCTCAAGATGATGTTGATTTCTTGGTACAACTTTGTGCTTACGTGCTTGCGCACTTAGATATGAATAGTTTTGCATTGAAAAAAAGAGTATTTTAATTGAATATATGTATTGAATAAAGAGAATTTTAATTGAATATATGTATTTAATATAGAATATTTTAATGGTGTTTTATTCACTCTTGGAATTCGCATGCTGAGTCTTATCATAACAAATATTAGTGTGTCCTAAACGGTCAGCTTCTTTCTTGTTCTTATGTCGATGTTTCTTGGAGTTCTGGGAGATCATCCATGTCGCCCATGGCAGGAGCGGTAGTACAATGGCAGATGAGAGAGGCAGCGATATGGCAGCTGAGGGGAGCAGCGATATGGCACAAGAGACTTTTCCGAATAACTTCTCAATGACCGAACCTAGAGATTCATAAGCCTTTTTTAGTCAAAGCCATTGTATCTATTGTGGATTTATCAACAAATACCGGAGGCGACGCCGTGAGCCAAAAATTTAACTCCTAAATATGCTTGGAGCCAGCGTCCAGCTTCAGCATGCAATAATTGGGTATACTCGGCTACAGAACAAGAAGCCGCAGAAAACGCTGGAACACCGTAATTCACAACACTGACCCACTGATTTAATTAAGAAAATAACGTTGTAGGTATTCAGCCAATACTTCTTATTTATTCCTACAGGAGCTCTGGAAACTGGTTCATGAATCCTTTGCCTAGAAAGTGTTTAATTGCGCCAATACTTCCTTAGGCATGCTCGCTCATCAGCAGAAAATTCCGCATCTGGCTGTACCTATTCCGGCCTAACCTCGTGTGGCCTAACAGATTCAAACGATGTGGAGTGCTCAAACTGGCGCGGAGTGGTCAGTGGTTAGTCTTCTTTCCGCAGTGCCTGATTATGCGGTGAACCTACTGGGATTTTGGAAAATTTCAAACCAAGTAGACGGACTTGCAAGTAGGACTTCGTGGAAGACGGACGTACGTGAGTAGCTCTCTTTAAACTAATAAATTTTGTATCTGATTCCATAGTTTGTACTTTGTAGGTTACTTTCACTTAGATTAGGAAGATGGGGAAGGGGAAACATAGAAAAAAATGTAATAGCCATTCATCTGGATCGACTGATGATGATGCAGACTCAGTTAGTTTAGTGGCCAAATGTTTACTAGCGCTTCAACAGGTGAACGAGACTCTTAAATATATCGGAAATCAGGTAAGTTCAACTATTTAGCTATCTCGCACCGAAAGTCAAGATGAACATCACATGATCACCATAGAGGTGGAAGGTCTCAATTAGCCTATTCATCAGTCATCACCCACAAGGGGTGGAAGGTCTCAATTGTCCAGCCCTGAGCCCGCTGAAGCTGGCTCAAAAAAAGCAGCATTGGCTTCTCAAAGAGATGAAGTGACAACTGACAAGAAGCCAGGGTGCAGAAGGTGGAAGCAGCATCGCCAATATATGGGTTTTTAAGCCCATATGTGCTGACCATTCGCTTAAGTGTCGCTGACCAGTGACCACTGTCGCTGACCATTTTCAAGATGCGTTGCCGGGTAATTTTTAATGAAAAGCCATTTACGCGGAGTAATGAAAAACTATTTACAAGCCACGAACTTATTTACAAGGTTGCATGCACGTGTTTCCCCATTACCCCAAATAACTAATTTACCCTAAAAACAGTCTGATTGTACAGCAAGTGTCAACTGAAGTTCTGAACATGTGATGATGCAGTCTGACCGCTCTAATGTGACTGCAACTACATTATGTTTACATTTTTTTGGTGGGAACTCATTGCAACCAATTTCCGGACAAGCTTTACTGCATTTTGATCCATCCAACGTACCGGAAGCCTTACTTTTTTTCCAAATAGTTGGCCGAAGCCAAAGACTGACAAATATATTAAATGCAAGAATTACAATCTAAATGTGTCGGTAAGATCTTTTGAAGGCGTAAATTTTGCTACTGAAGCATCGCCAAAGATCTTGCAATATGCATCCACTCTCTGCACAGTGGACAAGAAGGGACAGGTGAAAAGCGACAGAAACGAAGACACTCAAACAAGAGGTCGCTTACATGGGACATTGGCCGCCCGCACGAGAGAGACAGAGAAGGGAAATGTAAGGAATCCTACCTACATAATAACTTAAGTTGACAACTGACCATCAACTGAGACCTACAGTCAGACACCGTGAGCTCAGCAATGGGGCGCTCAGGAACAATCCCCCCAGGAACTCGAAATCCCATAGGACTTCTGACGAGCATAGACACGCGTCAGAAGTCCCCCCTGAGGGGGATAGATGCAGACTCAGACATGTCTCAGTCAGTCAATACTCATGTCCAGCCTGTCAGGCTTAGCAAAAAAACATGCAGCAAAGTGCAAACCAGAACATCCATTCTGACTCACAGATCCAGTTCTCGAGTGGGACATGTAACAACCTTAACACTGTGGAATGTGGATTGTGAAGGCTCTGATTTGTGGCTAGGTTCTGAGACAATAGTGAGAACAACTGTTCAAGAGGCGCAGTTGAATAAGCACCATGATGAAGATGCAAACTTTGAAGGGTTCTTGCCCTCATTAGGTTCCAACAATGAGAGTGATGCTGACTCAGTCCTCACAGCTGGCCAGAGGCAGTGGATACACTCCTCCTCTTGTTGTCCAGACCTACCTGAGCTGGAGGACTCTCCATGGGCAAATGCCAATGCAAATCCTCTGGTCATTGTAGTAGAGCCTCTTCCGGATGAGCGACCTGTGTCAAAATTCTTTACTAATGATATAGCTCTTAGCAAAGCTTTAGCCACCTCAAGTTTTGGTACAGCTGGTATCAAGGGAATTCAAAAGAATATTAATAGAGGCCTCCTGATCATCAAGATGGGAAAACACAGCCCATCCAATATACCTCGGCTTCTTTCCACAACTGAGATTGGGACTTGGAAAGTCAAATGCCGTCTCCCTCTCAATTACACAGTGTAAACAGGCATAATAGGCCCTTTGGGTGATGAGACTTCAGATGAAGATCTTACTAATGAGCTGCATCTGGCTGGATACCATGATGCCTCTGCAATGAGGATATACAAAGGTAAGGATAAAATCCCAACCTCAATGTTTAAGGTTATCTTTGCCACTAAGACTCTTCCATCATTTGAATATCTGGGCTTGGTACACCTTGGTACCTGTATGTTGGTACACCTTGGCAGTGCTACAAATGCCAAGACTTTGGACACAATGCCAACAACTGCAAAGGCCCCACCCGATGTGTTGGTTGTGCGGGTCCTCATAATGTTAAAGACTGCCCTTTAACTAGAACACAAACCCCAAAATGTTGCAACTGTGGAGGCCCACATACGGCCAGCTATGGGGGTTGCCCTCGCCTTAAATTTGAAACGCAAGTTGAGAGGACTCGTACATTTCAGAAAATATCATACAGAGATGCTGTGAAACATGTCAAGGAATACTCAATAATAAGCTCCTCTTTCAGAAAAACTAATGGGCCATCACAGAGTGCCCCACACAACTTGATAGGCACCCACCAAACTAATCAAACCAGGAGATGGAGTACACAAATGGGTATAGATAAAATTTCAGTTTCCACTCAAACTGCCCCTGCAGATTTGCCCACAGGAAAACTCTATCTCCAAATTGATAGAACTCCTGAGTCCTGACTAAACTTTTGAACTTATTCCAAAACACTAATAGCTTAAGCATTACTGATAACATCACTAAGATAGCTCAAGAAACCTTGGTCGCCACTACACAAACAACACAAAACTCACCTAATGGAGCAGTTCACCCTCCAATATAAATATTGAAGAAACAAACCAAAACAGGATATCTCACTCTCCCTTCAAAAACAAAAACACAGATACAAGGACAGATTCTTACTTGCAGGCACCCATCATTGACTTTAATATTCTTCTTTCTCAATCATTAACTTATATAACCCAAACAAAGCCATACCAACCTCTGAGTATGAACACTATTTTAATCAAGTACAGCCCTCATCTATAATTATAGGGGACTTTAATGCCCATGGCCCTCAAGGTGAACCAGGACACCCCCCCAATGCTGCTGGCAGAAACCTAAGTGACTTCCTACTACAGCACCCTGGCTTTGCTCTAGTGACCCCCCTGCACTACCTACCTATTTTAATGTCTATCAAAACTCTTTCTCAACTCTGGACCTCACTATTGTTTCCACTGACCTGCAACCAATATCCACAGTCACAACCTTGGAAGTGACCACTATCCAGTTCTCACCACAGTCGGGGTGGAGCCCACACATGTCCAGTACAAGAGACGACCAGTGTGGAAATTTGAGGAAGGCTCATGGCCTTGGTGGCAGACAGCCATCAGCCAAATGGAAACCAACCACTCCCCAGACCTTGAGATGAGTGTTAATAATTTCAATTACAACATCATATCAACCAGCTCTAGCATATTTCCACAAACAAAATCAAATATCTCCCTTAAATTCAACAAACCCTGGTTGACCCCTGCATGCACAACAGCAGTCCAAAATAAAAGAATTGCCAAACAACTCCTCATCTCCCAACCCTCCAGAGACCACTTGATACAGTATAAGAGAGCAGAAGCCAAAGTTAAGTTGGAGGTGCATTTGGCCAAAAGAGCATCTTGGGAAAAGTTCTGTAACTCTCTGACATCCGACACCCGTGTTTGTCTTCTATGGAAACGCATCAGATGTCTACACACCCCTTTCCAACGAAAATCACAGCCCTTCCTGACCCATAATGCGATAATAGCTGACCCAATTCTGAAAGCAGATGCTGTAGCCACACACTACCAAACCATCCTCAATGCTCCCACTCCAGCTACATTCCCAGAAACAATACTACTACCCCTAGCCCTCTCACCAACTGCTGATGATACCAACATAAACCAGCCTTTTGCACTCCATGAGTTGGAAAACTGTCTCCATAACCTTAAAAACACTTCACCTGGTCTAGACAGAATACATAATAAACACTTATCAAATCTCACCCCAGAATACAAACACTGGCTTTTAAACATCTACAATGATAGTTTTTCTTCCAGCACAAACTCTACTGAATGGAAAACAGCTCTCATAGTTCCAGTCCCTAAACCCAGCAAGCCCCTTACTCATGTATCATCGTATCACCCAATCTCACTGCTGTCATGTGTGGGAAAACTGTTTGAATCAATGATTAACAAATGCCTTACCCACTTTCTTGAACTTAACCAAGCATTCCAACCAAGCCAGGGTGGTTTCCGTGCCTGCATGTCAGCCATTGACCAGGTGGCAAGACTTACCACTGCTATACGAGACACACTGAACAGCAGACAGGTGCTGGTGGTGGTTTTCTGTGTCTTTACAAGTGCCTTTGACTCAGTTTGGCATAATGGCATCTTATTTAAGTTGAGCAGATGTGGAGTTAGGGGTATTATGCTGAGATGGCTCAGGGCATATCTGTCTGACAGATGTTTTCAAGTATTTTTTGAGGGTGAACTTTCAACACTGCGGAAAACAGGCTCAGGGGTCCCTCAAGGAGCCATTCTTTCTCCTACCCTTTTCAATGTACTAATGCATGATATACCTTCTTTCCCAAGAGTGAAATGTGCTGAATATGCTGATGATTTTTCTTTTTTTACCAGGGGATGCAGACGTGCGGGCCACTTCCACTAGGCTGCAGAACCAACTTGATATATTTAGCAAGTGGGCTCATCAATGGGTGTTAGGTTTAGAAATGAAAGTTTTCCAAGAAGAAATTTTTATTTAGCGAACAAATTCTCAGATCCAGTTGTCCCAGATTCTAGTGAAGCTTGTTGACAATCAGTCCGTAAACAAGGTCAAACAGCTTAGTCGACTTGGTACTGGTTCGTCGCAACAGACGAATACCCAACATAACTGTAAAGTAAATTAACAAAGTCTTTAGATTCTAGCTATTGAAAGTCAATTCATATGGCTGTCAGATATTTCAATAATAGACACTCAACAAATAATGATGTAATTAATTAACCACACACCTCAGAAACAGGTAAGTAGCAAAAATATAGTTAAGTTGTTGCGGTCTCGAGCCAAAAAAAGGATGCAGACCGACACCACCAGAGTAATGGTTATTCTATGGGAAGAAAGATACCATATAGTGAGAAATGCATGTAAACAAGCAAGTAACAATGATCATGAGCAATGTTCAATTTATATCGCACAATTTCGCAAGTTTGTAGCAACCTCTTGAACCCACCTTAAAATCTTTTGCGACTAAGCAGTAGACAATTTTAAGAGGCAAATAAGAGGCCATATACAGGGAAAATTATGATAGTAGAAGGAGAGGCAGACTCCGAAGCATTCGTGAATTTAACAGTAAGAAGAACTAGTTTCTTCAATCAAGATAGGATTAAATATACATATAGATAAGAATTTAACTTCAAGTTCGTTATAAGCCTAAGGCCAAGGTGGTTATACCACAGAGGACAAATGCTAAGTTTAAGTCGGTGTCTGCCTCCTAAATAAAGTAAGAGCGAACATGCACTTCAACTTAAATAAACAAAATGAAAACTGAGAGTGATCACTCAAAACAAAAATAGAATTAAGAAGGTATGGCGTTAATTACGGACTGCCGCAGCGCGTCCATGAAGATAGGTGCTTTCACCTTCAAATTACATAGCCAACAACTCTAGTTACAAATCCATACCCAACAATAGGCATGAAGAAAAAGAATCAAAGATGTTACAATTTAAGAACGTTGGAAATTTCCAACATGGGGTCTTATGCTCAATATAAACAAAACCAAATGCATGTACTTTACCAGCAGGAAGGTAAATTCACCCTCTTTACTGTGTAATGGCCACCCAATTGAAGTAGTTTTCCAATTTCGTTACCTTGGGGTTTCCTTGGATGACCCTAAAATTCCATATGCTATTTGTAAGGCGCTAGACGCAATATAAAGGGCTCCTGAATTAATCTTGAAATGGGGTAAAAAGGGACATTTGAAATAAAACTCAATTTCAAACATTTGAAGCATGCAGAGTGTACTCATCTATTACTAACAGTACTCTGAAGTCCTCCTCTTTCATTGTAGATGATGTAGATGTAAAATAAATGACATTTTCTGTGACTTTTACTTGTTTTTCCTTTATTGACATGATATTACCATAATCATTAATTACCGTATTATTAATGTGATATTACTGTTACTGTATCCATGGACTGCCATTGAGCATTGACAATGACCTTGTCCACTGCAAGCTTCATATCAGCAGCCATGTAGCATTTCTTCTGTATCTGTAAGCTTACAGGACAGCTTGTAATTTCACACAATTTTAATCGAGTCTAGTGATTTCATTATAACAAAAAAGATCATGAAAAACATACCTGAAACAGAAAACAATGTTTTAGTAACATCATATGTTTTGCAGAAATAAATCATAGTTTAGGTCAATTACTTTTCATTCTATGATGCCCGGTGCACAATTCTATATATAGCATTCTATGTACAATTTTGTGATGACCAATGATGCCTTAATTTTTCAATAAGTGACTTTTTTTGCCAAGCAAGGTAAATGTAATCAAAATTCTTTGTTGTTAATCAATTTTTTTTGTTAACTGGAGCCTTTGCTAACTGAGGTTCTACTGTAAATGCATTTTTAAGGGTGTCCCTAATTACCCCGAGGGGGTGTCCCGAGTAGCCCCGTCGTGCGGAAATGGCTGCCATTTTTTTTGGAATGAGATTGCCGAATTCTGTCAATTACGTTTTCAAGCTGACACCTGGGTGCAACTTTTATGTAAGTAAAATTTTTCAATACGGCGAATATTTTTTTTTGCTCCAGACCTTAGCAGAGGTACTTTTCCAAAATCACACTTTTCACACTTTTTTCGGCGATTTTTTAGAGATAGTGAATGTTTGATTTCTTGACTAGCTTTATACATAATAGATAGTAAAAATGTTGATGTTTACGCCACTATTTTTAGTTTTGCAATATTTTGATTAGTTTAGCTGCTACAACATTTCTACGAAATGTGGGACGCGCGTCCCTATTTACCCCGCCCATCCCCTTTTACCCCGTTTGATGGTATTGCCCACAGACAATGTGGCGCAGATCGGCTCCTCCTACTGAAATTATATAAAACTTTAATCCTCAGCCGCCTAGACTATGCAGCCCCGCTCTTTGCTGGTGCTGCCCAAACACTACTTAAAAAACTTGATATAATCCAGAACCACTGTCTCAGAATTACCTTGGGAAGTAAAAAAACCACTCCAGTTTGCTCACTCGAGGTGGAAGCTAATATCCCTCCCCTCTCAATCCATCATCAAGAACTACTGTGTCGATACTACCACAGACTTACCACACTTCCAATGTCCTCCATCATTAGTGATCTCTTCTGCGCTGAAAGAAATGATCCATATCCACCACCATCTGCCTCATTACTGCCTTCCCTGACTGCTCTGTCTCGTGCAATCATTACTCAACATAATCTCCTTCCCATGCTATTGAGACACTCTTTACTGTCGCCACTTCCTGCTTGGTTCAATATCCATAAACACATCCTAACAACCTTTTCATCAACTCCTGTAACAGGCCTCACATCCAACATGGCCTCACAAATCTTCCAAGACCTTCTGCAGACCCAGTTTACAAACTTTACCACAGCCTACACTGATTGTTCTCGCATTACAGAACCTTCAACTTCTGCATCATCAGCTATGGTGGTCCCATCCAAAGGAGTTCTCCTCAATTGGAAACTCCGTCCAGAGGTGTCTGTCCTTGAAGCAGAACTATTTGCCATCCATGAAGCGCTTGAGTGGGCTCAAAATAACCTTGAAAGTAATGAGAAGTTTGTCGTATTTACAGACTCCCTTAGCTCACTGTACCTAATTGCTGATAGAAAACCTCATTCTTATATACATCTTATTTTTCAGATCCAAGAAAAGCTTATGGCGCTGGCATCCCCACATGACCTCAAACTACAGTTCATTCCAGGTCATCGAGGCATTGCTGGGAACGAGGAAGCAGACCATGCAGCATCACTCGCCCACTCCCTTCGGTACCGTACAATCACTCCTAGGTCAAAGGAAGAGACAGTAAGAAATATCCAGCTTGTTTTTATTGAGTACTGGCAGCAGGAATGGGTTAATATCACTGAAGCTTCAGGAAAGGGCCTTTTCCTCTGCCAAATTAAAGATATAGTAGGCTATTGGCCTTGGGCACTTAACCAAAATAGACTTGTGGAAACAGCACTTGCTAGACTTTGGATGGGTCATGCTGGAGTGAGAGTACACTTGGCTAGGTTCAGAATTGTTGATAACCCTATGTGCAACTGTGGCCAGTGTGTAGAAATAATAGATCACTTGCTGCTCCACTGCCATCTGCATGCTCAGGCCCGAAGTCCGAACTAATCTATCTAGCACACTAACCTTCCTGAACGTTGATCAATCTGTAAAGAACTTGCTAGGAGGAGGCCTTTTCCCACCTGGAACACAGGTGAAGATAATTAAAGCCACCACTGATTACCTTATAGAAATTAATGCCCTGAAGCAAATATAGTCTAAATAAATGGAACCTAGTATATATTGACCTATCTTAATGATAGTCAGATATAATATTGTACTTCTGCCTTGAATCTCTAACAATTTGAGTATACTAACTACAAATAACACTCTGTGGAACTAACTTTATATTATACCTTCAGCAAACGCACCTGTGTTTCATCCATGAGTTTCAAGTAGAGGTTTCTCTGAGCAGATCAATTGAATACTGTAATGACTGCCTGTGTGAAGGGTGCCTCTATTTGTCTCCGCCAGATAAACAAATATCCCCTTGCCTCCTTCTGAGCCCTGCCCATAAGAGATCCGTCTTGTTTGCACATTTGCATTAAACATTATTTTGTGATAGTCATTTTTGGCTGAAAGAGGCTCCAGGTTGAGCCGCCCAGGCTGGACCCTAGACCTGGACCAGGCTGGACCTAGAGTCTGGGTTCTCATATGTGGCACAAGGTAGGGCATCCTCTAGCTACTATCTTGGGCAATTTAGTTTAGCTCTATTAATGTAGTCCTTTGTTTTAGAAGAGCAAATTGCTAGCAATTCTTAACAAATAATTGTCACATTATTTTGAAACACATTTGCACCCTGATCTGCTTTCAGCAAATTATTTCCCTGAACATGATACTGAAATTTACACCCCAATTATGTGAGCTCTAGTTGATCAATTGATACAATGTTTATGATTCTTTATGCTAATGACATTTTTCATATGCACACAGTTGCTGGGACTGCTGCACTGACTAAATCCTTGTGCAAACGTGGGATATTGGGACTTCTGTAACAACCAAATCCCCCTGCAGACGTGGAGCTACATGGATGCGTCTCCAAAGCTCCAATAAGCATCAAACAAGAAGAGTCTTCAGCGGGCGCTGATAATTGATAGTACGCCATCAACAAAGTCAATGACTCAACAACAGCTATCACCTACTGTGACTTAGTACCTACCAGTACCTCTATTGCATATCAAAGAGACATGAGCTTGGGAAACCTTAGAGACTTGAAGTGAACATGAATTCAACGTTCAAGAAACTCAAAAGTGAAATGGAAAAACATGAAATTCAATTAGTGAATGTAATAATTGAAAGAGTTCTGCTTATACAAGACTTGCTGAAAGAGGTCACTAAAACTGAATATAAGAATGTTAGCTCGATTGAAGCCAAAGAATTCATAGCACCACACATAATTGACCTGCAAGATAAACATTGGCATGATTTTGAAGTATTGTCAAGGAAACAAATCTATGGCTTGAATCAAAATGTAAGTACTCTTATATATTAAAGTCTAATGGATTTGTAATTTAAAATTTGATTATTTTGTTCTAATATTAACATGTTGACTATGAAGTGGTACATACCTATGCATACCACAAAATTTATTTCTCCCGGACATAATGGTACATAATTCAGGTTGCCTAAAATTGGCCAAATCCAAGAACAAAAAAGGCCAATAACTTAATATATACTACCGTAAAATGGGGTTACTTTGACCGGTGGGGTAACTTTGACCACTTTTCGTTTTCTTAACAAAAACCCCCAAAACTCAAAAACGATATGACATAGGAAAATTTTGTCAATGGCCATCAAAGGCCTAATGCTGAGGCTACATAACAAAACAGAAAGATTTAAAAAGTTTGCATATCTAATAGGTTAAAAAATTAATAATGTGACCCTCAAAAAAGAGCTATTATTTAAAGTCTGTTGGAGTACCCCCTCCAATTTTTTCATTTTCTGGTAAAATAACTCCAGGTTTTGATGCATTGTGTAACTCTCCTAGTTACATATGTGAAAGACAAATTTTAGGAAAGTGTCATAGTTTGCAAATGGGGGGCGCTGCCCCCCAATGGGGGAACTTTGACCACCTGATGGCAGCCATGACGGGGTAACATTGACCGGCTTGGAAATTAAGTTAAAATTATACCCGGTCAAAGAAACCCCAAGAGCTGGGGTAACAAAGACCATCACTTTTTTTGAAATTAAATCAAAACTATGAGAGGCAGGAGCCAGCAATTTACGGTGAGTAAAGCTAGAGTATAGACCTGTATTTTGCATGTTTCAATTTAAGTTTGGCATTGGCATTTTTTATTTTGAAAAAATGGCATTGTTTCAAAATAAAAAAGTGGTCAAAGTTACCCCATTTTACGGTAGTTTATTTGTAGGTTCCGCTTTAAAAATTTCATTTATTTTCTTTTTGCAGTATTTAAAATTTAATTAGGAAGTACCCCTATCATAAATTTTAGCCGACCAATGCAATTGAGAAAAACTATATATCACGGAATTTGTCCGGAAAAAATGACCATCTGGCAAAACTGTTTGAAAATGGTACAAAAAATTAAATAATTGTACAAGATAAGGCAATCATAGTCAACATGTTAAAGAATAAAGGTACTATACCTATTACCTACTAAATCAATTCGACATAAAGTGAGATGAAATTAATAATTACTGGACACTCTGGCTCTGGGCTCTGGCTGACAGGAAAATTGCATATGCTGTCAAGATTAAAAAATTCCTACATATTACTATAATTTTTCAGCTTCTAAATCTAAGTCTTGTATAAAAATCTCTAATGAATTTGGAATTTTATGACATGGTGGCATTTAACAAACCAAAGATTTTTTTTTGAATCAGTTAATTTTCAATTTCCTCATTTATTCAAGATTTAAATTAATATTATACATATGATGATTTATTATTATTTATTTAATAAGGGTTCATTCTAAATGCCTTCTAAATGACCATGTACTTGTGCAATTGAGTGCGGTGGCCAAGTATAATGATGGGAGCAAGCTTGGTTCCGATAGGTCCATAGGAGCGGTCAGGCCGGCGGCTGCAAGCTCAAAATCAAGCGGGATAGCAGCAGTGGCAGCACGCTCATTGCACTCCAATAGGAATGGGCTGGCCATCATGCCATGTGCTCCAAAACAAGCAGACCAGTAGCAGTGGTAACATGCTTGTCCTGCTATAGGTGTGTAAGGTGTCCCATGCTTGTTCCACTCCTAGTGTGCTTGTCCCAATAGGAGCAGAAATGCAGGATGGCCTGGATGAGTGCATGAGTGCATTAGACTTAGAGTGCTCCTGCCTCCAGCACCAAATAACTGAAACTTCGTTAACAAATAAGTGTCTCACTTTTAAAGGTGCTTGTAGATGGGGACAGTGCAGGCAGCAAGTAGATCTGGCAAATGTTGACCACTTGGTGACTATCTGGCAGGTAAGCCTGTACACAAGGATAGTACCTATAAGGTGCGGATATCTTCTCGTTTGTGCCTGCCAGGCTGCTGGTGCATCATTAGAAGCTGCAGTGAGGTTTGTGTAAATGGATAGTGGGTCACCTTCAACAACTTTAGTCTGTTCATTGTTTTTATACTCATTATTCTAGCCCTTAAAAATGCAAAGTTGGGTACCATAACAACAACATAAACCCCGACTAATAAGGTCTTCTCTCAGTTTAGAAATACTTGTTTCTCTCTTCATTTTTTTTGATTAACCATCATGTCAAATATTCCAAATTAGTTGACATTTTTGGAATATCTCAAAGACCAATTGAATATCGTCTAGACTCCACATTTTTGGGTTCTACTTAGAACCATTATCGTTCAAACAAGCTATTATTGACTAGACCTACGATGCTTCACAAGAGCAGCACAGATGCTCTCACCATGGCTCAATCAGCGCTACTGGCCGCTTGTCAGCAAAAAAACACATCGTTGTCCCTCTCTGCCACATCTTGGGCACATGCCTCTGAAGCGGCTGAACCCATATACATAAGGCCAGTAGCATGGACAGTTCAAGTGGCAGATCAACTGACGGCCAGTATTGTTGCCATGTACAGGCACCTTAACAGATAGAACTCCAATTGCGAGTGTGGATTGATGCTGGTTTCCATGGTGCCTTTCAATCATCTAGGTAACATGTTTTAACCCTTTACGCCCTGGCGTGACGAATTCGTCACACAGAAAAAAACATCGGTTTTCCAACAATTTCACGTTTTCTGTCATTTTTTAAGAGCAGCGTCTTCAGGTTGTCTATTTATGTGCCCGACCAGTAATTTTCGCCCATATTAAATGTTAAAGAACTCCCCCACCCCTAACCCTTTCACGAACTGTTGTCAAGGCATAAATCAACGTACAGAGACAATTTTGGTACCGTTGGATAGGTCAGAATGTCAGCTTTGAAGTGAGACTTAAAACCAAAAAAGTGAATTTTACGATTTTAATCCCAGAAATTCAGGGCGTAAAGGGTTAATTATACATTTCCTTTCTCTATCTAAGAAATTTGATACTAAAATGTTTATATCACTGCAGAGATTGATCTTGGGAGAACCTTAATATACTGTTGATATGTTTAACAATTGAACTCAGATTAATCGACTTACCTTGGTTAATTGTTCTTCAGATTATCAAGATGAAGCGTGCTCGAAGCAGTAATGCACTGGATGTTGAACTGCTCCGTCTCATGGCTAGAGCTTCACTTGATGGTTCTAATCTTCTAAAGGTATGTTCTTCAGACCTTAAAATCTGTTCTTCATGTAAGAGAATGATGTTGCAATTGAATTACTGTAAAATGGGGTGACTTGGACTGCATTGACATTTAGGAAAAGAAGACCCTATACTAAAAAAGTTCATGCCTTAGAAGAATTGTGTTGATGTCTCTTGAAGTACCTACAAATGCAATAGAGAGATATACAGTATTTTATATATACCTATACTATGTGATTATAACAAAAATGTAAGTGCTAAAAATATATGTATATACTATGTGACTTATTTGTATAACAAAAAGGTAAGTGCTAAAAAGGATCAAGGTCACCCTGTTATGGGGAGCTGAATTAGACTACTGTATAGCCCAACCTTAATATCTTTCATTATCAATAATCAAATTCATTCGTTGCTCAATTTTATTTAATTTTAATTAAATTCAATATTTTCCATTTTTGCAGCTTAGACAGCTAAAGTTCTATTTGCAGACTTGAAGTATCTCCACTCAACCTGTGCACTCAGTATCACTGGAGACTGGCATAGGAATTTATTCCGTTCATATGCTGATAATTTAGGTTATGATTTGTCTATGTTTTTATTGTAATTTTTGTGATATTAGCTAGGTAATTCTATTAATTAATTTTCTTATGTTCCCTTGTGTTGTATTTGTGTTAATTTCTGGCTGATAGGGCTTGGTTTAAAGAAGTTAATTTATCACATTTTATTGCAGTTGTTATTAGTTTCAGTAAACTTATTTTCTTGATTCTGCTCACAGTGAGTGTGTCCGTGATTGATCTGTATGGTACCCATGTCTTTTTGCTTTCTTTGCATGTAATTTAAAAATTCTACTTGTTTTCAAAAGAAAGTCACAACATGTACATGAAGCTTTTACCTGTTTTAAAGGAGTTAATGGTTTTTTGCCTTGTTAATATTTTACATCCAAGTAATTTATCAGTCATTCCTGGTTTACATTTTATTCTGTTCTTTTTGTTGCAGTTTCTCCTGCTCATCTTCATATCTCAATGCACCTAACTGGCCCATTTCAATACACTCCAAATTAATTTATTTGTTACTTTTTCAATTTTCTTATAATTCATGTTAATTTTACTATCCCATACATCCTTCCAATAGTCATTATTAATTAGAACCAGTCTTTCATTATCCTCAATCATAGTAGGATTGTTACCAGTTAGTTTATGTATAATAGGTTTATCTTGCCTGCAGTGCGAGACATTTTACACCCAGCATAAACCTTTTCAATGGTCCAAGTCACTCCATTGTACGGTATTTAAATTTAAACTCAATATCATATACATACAGAGTGCATGTAAAGCATGGTTGTAAAGAGAAAACTGTCATTCCAATGTTTACATAGTTTGTTCCATACATTTTGTTGCACTCATCAGTTTCCTAACTTCCCAGCCTTGGTCATGCTTTTCCTGAAAAATTGTGTGAAAAGTAAATATATCCAATTTGAGCAAATTGTGCTTGTTATCAAGGCACAATGTAAAAAATGTAAAATGAACATGATGGTTCAATTTTGGTTCAAGATTATGAAAACACAAACAAATGCAAAACAAAATTCAGGAGTAGTTTTTCATCTCATTTCACTATGTATCCTAAATATTGTGTATTGATGTTGCTTATTTTAAAACCATGTTTTTATTCTGGCTCTAACTTTTAGATCTCCATTCTTGTTTTAATATTAATGATCAAGAATTCAAAATCAAAATCCACTCTTAGCCATGTCCCATTATTATTTTGTTGAAATCAATTTTGGTGTCAGCATTTATTGAGCTGTAGGCCTGTCGCTGTAATTCTTAACATCGCAGAACATACTCAGCTTGTTGTGGTCTCAAACTCACAACTCACTTCTTTGCCTGTAAATTCTTGGATTATATGCTATTTAAGAAATTTAATATATATATATATATATTCTTAATCATTCTTATTGAATGAAGAAGAACTTGTCAGCACAAACATCAAATGTTATTTTTAATAATTATGTCTGCTTACATTTAAAGAGTTTAGGATCTTCCTCAAATTATGCCTGCCCTGCATATCCATCACTGAATATCTTAAGGCGTTTCCAGGGTCTGCTCAAATTTCCTGCCAAGCTCCAGAAAAGACTTGGAGGTCCTGCAGATGTTGCTGGCAAAATTATCAGCACAAATATCTGCTTGATCTCAATATTGCAGCAAATGGGCTTCTCAGCTGCCATCAAGAATTCTCCTTATGAGGTAATTCAATATTCAGTACTGTTTTATATTATTACTATTACTGAATTTAATTGATTAAACAATTAATTACTGAATTGTATTGTTATAATAATATTGTAAACGATACAGTTAAAAATAATAATTATTGTAGTGTAAATAGGAATACACTGTATTGTATTGACCCTTAAGCAGGCAAGTTACCACATAAGATCACTTGAAAAAGCCCCTCAAAATGACGCACCACGGCCCCCAGTTAGTGTATGAGGCTAAATTATCATGCCTCTGCCAATAATGCCTCTGCCAATCATGCCTCTGCCAATCATGCCTCTGCCAATCATGCCTCTGCCAATCATGCCTCTGCCAATCATGCCTCTGCCAATCATGCCTCTGCCAATCAAATCATGCCTCTGCCAATCATGCCTCTGCCAATCATGCCTCTGCCAATCATGCCTCTGCCAATCATGCCTCTGCCAATCATGCCTCTGCCAATCACTATCCTCTATCACTATCACTATCCAAATTATCATGCATCTGCCAATCCCTAATCATCTCGCTATCATTCCATTCATGGCAACATCTTCCACTCTGCCCAATAATTAAAATGTTAGGATCTAAATAAGTCTTCACTTGGACAATGAAAATAGCGCTCTATACACATTATTTGAAAATGTGGAAGAAGTAAAATCTATTCAATCAACAAGAGTAGCTTTATATCACTGAAATTAATTGAGGCCTGATGAAAGTTAAATTTTTTAATTTATATTGTCGAATAAATTTTTTTTGCATATTGTTCAATTTTAATATATTCTTCATGTGTAATTCACTCCTCCAATATGTAAAGTTTTTAAAATGACGTAGGAGTAAATTGGTCTTATAATTGAATACCTTCTTTTACTGGTTCCAGAAATTCGAAATTCTTCATATTCCTAAGCTTGCCCACAAAAGGTATAAATTTTTAAAGGGTTAAATTTTTTATGGTAAAAAAAATTGCTAGCTAAATTTGATTGAAAATTGGTTTCTATATGAATTAAAAATATTTTTAAATTTATGAGATTAGCATTAATAGGAAATTAACTGACTCTTGTTGGATGATTGATTAAATGTTGAAAAGATTTTCTGTAATGTCCTAGAGCGTGAGAGATGTGATTGCACCTCACTGATTTGCTGTGAATAATTGGCACTTCTTCTTGAAGTGATGGTTGATTGTCTCTCTTAATCAGTAAATAAATAATGGTGATGTTTTTTATTATTTTTTTCAGGGGAATAGATTGTCTGTAATATATCAGTAAATGAATAATAGTGATGTTCCTTATTATTTTATGCAGGGGAATGCTGGAGTGTCAACAACGGAGAGTCTGGGTGAAGAGGTTGATAGCTCTGTGATGGAAGAGCTTCAGGAAAGAGGCTCTGCTTTCAAACATCTGGCCAGGCTCGCAAAACAAAGGCTTGGCAATGCTAAAGTGAGATCGGTTTCATTTGGAAATGTTAACTTAATCTTTTATGATGATAATGTTTTTGTAATATTTTGTAGTACACCAGCATATTTTTTGTAATATTTTGTAGTTTGAAAGCGGCTCTGCTTTCAAACATCTGGCCAACACAGGCTTGGCAATGCTAATGTGAGATCAGTTTCATTTGGAAATGTTAACTAAATCTTTTATAATGATAATGTTTTTGTAATATTAATATGTAAATTCACACTATTAATTGTACTTCAGCATGGAAAATAATTTTAATTCATAATAAGTAAAAGTTTTAATGCTGAATTTTTACTTTTATGAATATTAACTTCTGTGTGGAAATGATTGTTTCCAAAAAGAAGATAAATAAGCCCCTGAAGGATTAAGGGACATCCTTGAAGTACAATGTTGCCTCAGAAGTCAAGTTGGTTCATTTCTAGAGGATTGTTAAATGCTAAATCAATTGACATCTAAATTAGATGTGGCTACCAAGTAAAACAGTTCTCATCGGTCGAGTGAAGATGTAGCTAATTCACTGGATGCTAGCATAACTGATTTCAGTTGGCGCTACTAAATTTTTCGAGTTCATATTCTTTGTTCACAAAATTGATTCTATAAGTGCATCTTCTCAATAATGATTGCCTATAATTTATGCAACTGCTGATAATAAAACTATGAAGGATTTAGATTCACTCTTTTTCCTGTCGTGTTGCTAAAAGCTGCTTGGTTTCTGCAGAGGAACGTGCGGCCTGCCGTGAAGAGCTTCCTGCTGCCGAGAGATCGTCGGATGTACCTCCTAGAGGACTCTCTGTCGCACCTTTTGGCGCCTCCCAAGAAACGTCCTGGTGTGTGTTAAGAATAGATAAGAGGTAACATGAGATCATAACAAGATAACATGACTTGTATCCATCATTCAAAATAATTGTCTTCTTGGTATGCATGAAAAATATTTGTGTATTTTTCCACGAGTCTTACTTGAATGACATCTCTTTTGCATTATTATCTTGAAAATTTTTTATTCAACTACATTTAATACTGTATTTTACGTACTTTATGTTGTATTTGGAAAAGTTGTTGCTCACTACACTATTCAGTATTCATGCTAATTGTGAATACTAATACTAATTTTTCACTGTCTCGAACACGTGGCTTGGTGACCATAGCTCCACGTCGACGCCACCGATCTCGTGGAACGCGTACGCGACGTGCCCCAAGGCAGCACTTGGGCGACGAGACCCGAGGGCGGCACTTGGGCGACGAGACCCGAGGGCGGCACGTGGGCGACGAGACCCGAGGGCGGCACGTGGGCGACGAGACTCGAGGGCGGCACGTGGGCGACGAGACCCGAGGGCGGCACGTGGGCGATGAGACCCGAGGGCGGCACGTGGGCGACGAGACCCGAGGGCGGCACGTGTGGGACGAGACCCGAGGGCGGCACTTGGGCGATGAGACTCGAGGGCGGCACGTGTGGGACGAGACCCGAGGGCGGCACGTGGGGGACGAGACTCGAGGGCGGCACGTGGGCGACGAGACCCGAGGGCGGCACGTGGGCGACGAGACACAACGCCAACAACTCTGGCAGCAGCTCCTTCCTCTGATAATTAATCAGGTCTATTTTTGGGGACCATTCGTTTGAATATTTATCAAATTTTATCTGATTCCAATTAAGTTTTACTGAAGACTCGAGCGATATTGTATAAACTATTATCCTCCCATTCTTTGCCATACGTTTTATTTCAATTGAGTTCTATAGGGTATGTATCATACCGATATCATATTGCATAATTCTGTGTACTAGTCCCCAATTTACTGCTATTAGTGCGATTTCATTTAAGTCCTATGTAATAACTTTAACACATTTCAGAAACTTACTAATCAGGATTCATTCCATTAGTTTAATTTCAAGTAGCCTTATATAATACTGATATCTTCCATAAACCTAACCTAACTTTAATACATTTCAGAAACTTACTAATCAGGATTCATTCCATTAGTTTAATTTCAAGTAGCCTTATATAATACTGATATCTTGCATAAACCTATGTGCTCGTTTCTAAATCATTGCGTTTCGTTTGATAGCAATTGTCAGGTGTCTGTTCTGTCAACTTCTGTGACCACCTGATGGATTTGTAACTGAGAGTCGGGGTACTTTATTGTTCCAAGTAGGACTAAGGCATGACAAGTGAAACACACGGTAACAATAGTTCTATTATAATAATAAACTGGCTCGGTGAGTACAGAAGAAAGGGGATTGACAGGCACAGCACAAGTATGTGCCGGAGGAGCGGCAAGCAAGGTGACGGCTAGGCAGTACCGCTACAACTGACGAGCGGTGCACAGATCGAGCTATATATAGGCCTTAACAGGGATGACGTCACTGAGTGTGACTCTACCATGTGGGTACAGAACAGGCTATAAGATGGTGACGTATGATAACCTAGATGGTGATAGAAGATCACCGGACACAATTGAGTTCTATTAAATCTGGCTTAAACTTGTATAGTCATCTCCTTTCCAGGAATCGCTCATTCTAGGAGCTGAAGGGGATCTCGACTGCGCCCAAACATTACGGCAACTCGATGACATTTCTGAGAGGTAATTTCTCGTTGGTTCTTCTGTTCATTGCTCGCATGGATCACGTCAACACTTATTTTATTTTGAAATACCGGATACAAATGCGAATTAAAATGATCTTTGAATTGTGCTTCTTGAAGAGATACTTGCTTACAAAACGTGAGGTGCATTTGTGCAGATAACCTGTTTTATAATAATTATCGTGTTCATATTTTGCGTTATATTTGTCGTTTCTTGTTAGGTTCAATTTCTTGAGCTTTACAATCACTACTTTTATTTCAGTGACCGCTGACTGGGTTGTTTTTCAATTAAATTTTTTATTTGGATTCGACCATGGACAAGATTTAGTTTTTTACTGAAATCCTCAGCATAAAGCATGTATAGGAATGATCACAATAATAATGCCCAAGTTTTAATAGTTTTCAATAATAATGCTTCATTTGTTCTAGGTTGGATGATTTAATTCTGCGGAGTGACTACAATGCGTCCTTGGTCGCCGAGTGCAGACGTCTTGACACAACAGAAGAGAATGATGACTTTGACCTCGAGGCCACCATTCAAAAAGCTAAGCAAATATTAAGAAAAATTACAAACCCCTCATCAGAGAATGTGGAACTGGCAAGTAAACGCAACGGGAATAATGCGAGTAACGCTTTAGAAAACCATAGCGAAGAGGAATTTTCTGTTGACCAACAAAACGAAGACGAACGCTTCACTGACAGCAGGAAGAGGCGAGAGGCTTTCTGGGCCTCCTTAGCGCAAGAAGGCTACGTGGGCTCTGGAAACTAATACTTATTCGTGTGTTAAAACTTATGTTGCTGTAAATACCTTGTTTATTCTGAATTAAAGCATTGCGATATTTATTCGTTACTGTTGGAAGTATTTCAGGTCGTTGATCTCCAAAAGGCGTTATTTCATCTTGGCAAAACAGTGGATCCTTAAATCGAAATCTTGGCCAGTAACCAAACAATACCAAGAAATATATTTCCTCCAACCAAATCACACACATCGCAAATCGATGGATGAAATATTTAATTTACCCCAATATTTATTTGTAGTGCAATGAAAAGGCTCCTTGTCAGAGATCAAGCTGGCGAGTCTATATATTGCTTATACGTATTATTTAGAAATATAAACTAAACATCCTTTCCACAAGTTTACGCCGTCTATTTAGTATTATTACTGTATTTGACATAATATTTACTTTAAAATTATAGAGAAACTGATGACGTTTTTGTTATTGTTCAGTGATTGCTGCGTCGTTTACGTCAATGAATTGGCTTTCAGAAGTTAACAATGCTCCGTTTATAACTTCTTTGATTATGCTTGACTTCATACTTGAATATGGAGTAGATTTTGTTGTCGTATTTGGATGGAACATTTTCATGAAAAACTGTAAATAGCTTAAATGAGTTGCTTGGTATACCTGGTAAGTGTTCCTTGAGGTTGCAATCTCAGTCTTCTATGCAGCGCTGATTTTTCGCAACGCTTTTTCATGTGAAAAGTTTTGCTCAAAGTCTTAATTTTAAGATAGAATTAGAAGCTGTCCGTGATATGTGAATGTGTGTTTTTCACCTGATTCAATAAATAAAATAAACCAGTAAATATTTATTCGTTTTGTTAACCGAACGCTGCACTTCTCGCTGAAAATTTGAGACTTCTTCGAGGCCTAGTTCCGAAATTGGTTATATTTAAAAAATTTCCGTACGATTAAATGCGTCTTGAGGACTTTTCCCAAACTTTTCTATTAGCTTGCACATATAGATGCTTCATTCTCCAGTTTGTTGAATATCTTGCGTAGTATGAAGTTGTGCCCTGCGGATACGAATTCTTTATTTTAAGTTTCGCTTAAAATCCTGCGCGTTGTGAATCGGTGCCATGCGGATACCTATGATTAATTTCAAAATATCTTAAATGTCATACGCTTTGTGAATTATTGATAGTAGGAGCTATTCGTTTCCGACTGAATTTCGCCAACTCATAAGGCTGTCGCTAGCTTGAAAGCTTGAATTATGATCCAAATAAAATTTCAAGTTTTACTGCTAGCGCATAAGCGTAAGAATTCCAATCTGTTTGCGTACCTATGGTATACATGGGAATTATTCACGTAAAAGTCTGAATAGAAATTTTATTCCGTACAAAATGACAAATTTATACTACTAGTTTCAGTGTTCACCCCGAATAAACCAAATTGTTCAAAGTTACGAATCCGGCTTTCCAATTTTTTATTTTTGCATGCTGAGGCGCGCTTCCGAACTATTTATCCACCTCAAAGTGATCGCGACTTGAAGAAATATAAATTAAACATCTAGGGGGCATGTGAAAAGTTTATCAATCCCGCCTCGAGTAAAAACCTCATTCAATTATACAATTATGGAATTAAAATTTCTAACGAAGTTTGAATTCTAATATTGCGAGGAACGTGCGGAAGAGTCTAGTAATCGACTCATTGTGCCAGCAGGTAGGCATTAAATTTTTCGGGATCACGGGTCTGGGTCCGACGTCCGTGATGTCAGTCAGTTTGAGCTTAGCTCTCCCGGTGGGAGGTTGGTGTGCATAGGTGCTCTATTAATGAATCTTCCTTCGATGTTCGAATTGCGTAGTTTTCTCCATGTGTATGCTGAAGAAGACGAGGCTAGTAAATTACGACGGAAATAGTGAGATGTAATCCAGTTGAAGGAGACCCGACGCTGAACTGCAGTTGTAACCTGTTGCTAGTGTCTGGTAAGGAATTACTTATTTACAGATGGGTGTTACGACGATGACCAGCTATATTATAGTATATAATGAAGGACATATCAATTTACTGCTGAATTATCGTTCGGGAAAGGTAATTGTAGCACTATCTTATGAAAATTGTAGTACTAGGATTTACCGCAGTACGGTACCCCTAGGGTATTTTTGCTCCATTCCAATATAGCTGACGTTCGCTGTCGGTAATCGGGTTTCTTACGATCTGAACTAAGAGATGTTGCCTCATGAATTCGCATCATGAATTGTTTTTTTCTCACCTGTTCTTGTTATATTATTAGAAATTATAAAATTCCGGATTCTCCGAAATGATATCCATATAAATTTAATCGTCTTTCCATCAAGATTTTTTAAATTTTGGATTTGAACCTGTGCTAAACTTTTTGTTTAATTACATGCAATTTATCACATTCACAAATAAGAAATAACCATGTTGTGACAATTAATAGTGGATTGCTCATTAATAAGGTCCATGAGCTCAATTATTGCTTGTAATAAAATATTTTACCATAGAACATTTGAAATTGATGCGAACCGCCAAGGAAAGCCTAGGTTTGCAGGATAGTCAAACTCGTTCCCAGTTTTTCGCCCGTGTTTATATTTAAAAAAAATGTGTTAATGAAATTTATTTCACACGTGTTTCAGTCTTTATTTCTGTATTGAAGGGATCGATTGCATAAATTAAACGTTTTTATAATTTGTATGCGCTTCTCAGCGAACTACGATAAATAAATTCGATAAATTATTTAAATTTTATATTTCAATTTTTATATTCACAGCATAAAATACACCTTTTAAAGATATATTAAAACGATTCTTAAATAGATTAAACATTAAAGATATATTATATTTCTGTCAGCACGTCCACATTATTAAATTGCCACCTTAATAATAGACCTTATTGCTTTGTATTGTACCTACATGTGATGATTATGTTTGGCCGACTAAGGCAATTTGTTTCCGGCTTGAACACCAATTGTTTCTATCATTAAATGAAGTTTGTGCTGGAGAAATTCATACGTGAATCATAATGGAATTTCAAATTTTTCCGCCTCCCATGGTGAAGATTCTACTTTAGTTCGTTGTTAACTGAAAGCCTTTCTATCCGAGTCGATTTGTTTGATCATTATAAATTGTTAGTACCTTGAAATTTCGTTGTTTCTTTCCGTTCTTACCGAAATCCGAATTTGCACTGTTTTTTTTTTTTGTAATTTCGTCGATTTTAATTTAATTTTAATACATTATTTATGGTGTTCCACCTTCGAAATAACTTCCTAATGAATAAATGTAACGTGAATTAAGAGATTTTTTGAAGTGTTCTTCGCGAAAGTTTGGTCGTTCCGTGATTTTGGAAGCTGCGACATGTGCGCCTTTGAGATCGGATTATAATTTGGTTCTATTAAAGTCTTTGAAGTCTTGGGAATTCTGTTAATTAACCGTGGTATTGGCTCAAATAATTGAGGTGGAACTCCTGTTAATTAAGCGTGATATTGGCTCAAATAATTGAAGTGAACTACTGTTAATTAACCGTGGTATTGGCTCAAATAATTGAAGTGGAACTCCTGTTAATTAAGCGTGGTATTGGCTCAAATAATTGAAGTGGAACTCCTCTTAATTAAGCGTGGTATTGGCTCAAATAATTGAGGTGGAACGCCTGTTGATTAAGCGTGGTATTGGCTCAAATAATTGAAGTGAACTACTGTTAATTAACAGTGACATTGACTCAAATTGAGCGAGGATTCCTGTTAATTGACCGTTTTACTGGCGCAAAGAATTGAGGTGTGACTCCTGTTAATTAACCGTTGCATTGGCTCAAATAATTGAAGTAAGGTCTTTGGTAATTAAACGTTGGATTGGCTCTAATAATTGAGGGCGATAACATTGCAAGTTAATTGAGTGAAAACGGTCAGGAGCGAATTAAATTTTCCATATCCGTAGTCGTGCTTCGGCGGGCAATTTCTGGTTTGTCTAGTTGTAATTACATTATTTCTCTTTGTGCCATTCATTTTAGATGAATGTATCATTTTAACTCTAATTATTGGAATATCATGACGTGGCACAAGTCCTGGTGATTTATTCACCGCGTTTAGTATTTTATTACCCTGGATTAATTAAGGCACAAAGGCAGATGTCTCGCTTCAAGAATTCGAAAATTCTTTGCTCTATGCCGCCTGCACGGTGCCTCCAGGCGAAAAGTTTTCAGTCTATGGCAGCATAGATTTTTATAAATAATTTGAGAATTTCATTGGCACGGTTTTCGGCTTTTGCTATAATCTCGGTTTCACGTATAAGCTGTGCAAAGAAAAGTCGGCTTCTCAATCTGCGGTGCGATATCCGCTTTGGAAGTTCATAGGATTCCCTGTATTGAGGTTCAAATCTAAAAATGTTCAGAAAATGGAGACGTAGGTACGTTTCTCCGTTTCTTTTGCCAATATTAGGAACTTAGTTGGACGGTCCTGTAACAAGCTTTTGCTACCAAAAACAAACTTTACTTTGAACAAATTGCTTTTGTTTCGCTGTCCCGGAATCGGAATCGACATAAGTTTTCGTTTTTGCGCTTGTCCATTGTAGGGATCCCTTGAAGGCTGTTGCTCTCGCGGGAACATCTTCTTGAGCCCAAAAATGAAGCACGAGCAAATATCTGTAGACGTCACTTTTTTTGTCATTGGAGTTTTTGATGATATTTCTTGCATGAGCTGAACCCTTGGAAGTTTCGTCGATTATTGCTAAGACGGCGCTTTTGTCGCTCATTTTTCCGCCCATTCTGCCGCTCGTGTCAAGGATGCCAATGAAATTCCTCCTTAGAATTTTGTGATACCAAAAATGTTTTTTTTTATCGTCACTTCTCTTTTTGCCCAAGCATGGAGAATGGACCAAAGACCGCCAACCATCTTCCTCCACATTACCTTCCTCTCTCTAAATTAATTTTCGCTAGGCAATTTGTCAAATTAATTTTCAATATAAAATCATAGAATAATAAGCTTAGAAATAAAGAGTCACGTATCTGATTTCAATGAAATAATTTCCATCGGTTTACAAGTGACTGGTAT